TTTTGGTAGGAAGATTTGTTACAATATGCGACTACAAAATACCAAATTTCAGTGAATTCGGTTGAAAACGCGCTCAAGAACCCTAAAATACCGTAAATTTGGGAGGTACCGTTATATGGGGGTTACCAGAAAAGGTGGACCGATATTTATAATTTTTAGTGGAGACATTAAAATGGGCTTGGGGGTTAAAAAATGGGCTTAAACCCACAAAATACCGTAAATTGGGGGTGGCCTTATAGGGGGGCTACCCGAAAAAATTTACCTATATTTATAATTTTTAGTGAAGAAATTTGGTACCCAATAAGATCCCATTGTACCATATTTCAGTGAATTCGGTTGAAAAGCGCGCTAAAGAACCGCAAAATACCGACAATTGGGGGTAGCGGTATATGGGGCTCCCCGAAAAAATGGCCCTATATTTTTACTGGAGACATTTGTTACCCAATAAGAACCCATTGTTCCAAATTTCAGCGAATTCGGTTGAAGAATGCGCTCAAGAACCAAAACACCATATATTGGGGGAACCAGTATATGGGGGCTACCAGAAAAAGTGGACCTATATTTTTAATTTTTAGTGGAGAAATTTAGTACCCAATAAGAACCCATTGTACCAAATTACAGCGAATTCGTTTGATAAACGCGCTCAAGAACCCTAAAATACCGTAAATTAGGGGGGAACCGGTACATGGGGGCTATCAGAAAAAGTGGTCCGATATTTATATTTTTTAGTGGAGAAATTTGGTACCCAATAAGAATCCATTGAACCAAATTTCAGCGTATTCGGTTGAAAAACGTGCTCAAGAACCCCAAAATATCGAAAATTGGGGTGGAACCGGTATATGGGGGCTACCAGGCCGATATAACCCATCTTCGAACTTGACCTACCTGCAGACAAAATACGACTGTATGCCAGGAAGATAGGAAGATTTGACATCCCATGAGCGCATTTAAAAAATCAAGTTAGAGCGAATTCGATCGAAAAACATGCCCAAATTATATTGAAGCTAGCCGGAAACTTGGTCCAATGGTAATAATATTGGGTAAGGAGATTTTTCTAATCAATAAGAATCCAAAATATATAATTACAGCTAATTTGGTTGAATCACTTTCCCAAGCTCCCTAATATATCGCAAATTGGTATGTAGCATATAAGACCTTCCCTAAAACATGAGCCAAAATTGATAATTTTTAATAGGAAGATTTGACACCCCATGAGATGAGGAGCCATAATACAAAATTACAGGGGTGGTACCCTAAAATGTGGGCCAATATTGATAATTTTCGGTAGGAAGATTTGATACCACCAATGAGAACCAAACGTAGCCAATTATGGACAATTCGGTTGAAAAACGTATTCAAAATCCCCTAAAATACCCAATATTTGGGAGTATTGTTATAAGGGGCTACCCTGAAACATGACCTCTGATACTAGTAATTATATTTCACGGCATACATGTTCAGGTCCAATTTCCTACGTATAAATGTAAATATGTAACTGGATCTAGGCAATTTATGGAAACAAGGGGGGTCATAATTTAAACTGGAAAACTGTAAAATTTATCTAGGCGCAATTGCTGTTCGTTCGTTGTGTTGCTACTCCTCCAACCTACTTTAAAATCAAGCAATTAGTAGGACTCGATATTTTTCAAAAAAAATATTTGTAAAAAATTCACGCATTTGTTGGGTCTCTAAAAACTTCAAAAGAAAATTTTTCGAAAAAATATGAAACTGGAGCTTTGCATTTTACGGAATCAAGGTAGCCATCATTCAAGCTGGAAAACTGTGTAATTGAACTAGGCTCAACTGTTGTTCGATTAAAGACGCCTTCTCCTCCAACCTCCTTTAAACCCCTATATTTCAATTTTAACTTAATTAAATATAAAAAAATCTAATGTTATTAATTATAATATTAAAACAGAATTATTAAAAACAAGAATTGAGAAAATTTAAGAGGAAGCAAATAGGGGAATAAAAATTAAACGAACAAAAAAATCATACATCCATATACATTATTTCTATTAAACAAAAACTCATAGTTTTTTTATAACAAAAATCATACATACACATATATATTATATAATTTGTTTATATAAATTCATATTTAATAATACCTAAATTAAAAAAAGTACACATGTATATGATTCAGTTCATTTAATTAAAAAAATAAAAATAATATTATATATAATAATTAGATGTTTTCAAACATTTGTAGAAACTTTGGTATTCTGTGTGTGTGCTTTTTATATAAAATAAACCTACTATAGAAAAAGAAGCAGAAAAAATAAATGTTTTTTTTTTTTAATTGATAGCATAGAGGAGTTTTAGAATAGCAGGCATTTGTCGTTGTTGTCGTCGTCTTTATCTCCCATTTTTTTGTAGTATTTTGTATTTTTTTTTGATTCGTTTTATAAAAAAAGAGAAGATGGACAATATTTCCAAAATCTTGAAAAATAAAATGATTTTCAATTAACACATTTAAAAAAATGGATTAACAAATTTAAAAAAGATGTACCAGAAGGATAAGATCGACGGATCCAATATTCAGACATAATCTAAGTACGGTAAATATATTATCTTGTGTAAAGATTTGATTTTGACCATTTTGTGGGGTAAGCTACTAGTAGGAGTGAACCCATATTCTTTGGAATAAATATTAAGATAGGCAAAGTTTAGGTGGAATTGGTTACTATCTATCGAGCGCACCAGCCAGGCAGACGGACGAACATTTGTGAACTGACTACGAATTGACTGAAACGGTTTTGGTCCAAAGAAACATGGGGCCTAAAACCACTATTTGGAGAACCAACAAATACATGTGTCTGAACCGGATTTGGTCCAAAGAAACATGGGTCCTAAAACCACCATTTTAAGATCCAACAAAGGCTTGGAGTCTCGAATAAATATTAATAAAAAATTCACGCTTTTGTTGGGTCTCAAAAAAAATTCAAGCAATTATTGGGTCTCTAAAAAAAAAAATCTGGAAAAAATATTTCTCGCCTTTGGTAGAACTTTTACTTCCATAATCTCCGGAAAAATAATTAAAAAAATGTAGGCCTTTGATGGGTCTTGAAAAAAGTATTTAAAAAACAGGCCTTTGGAGGGTCTTGAAAAAAGTATTTAAAAAAACATGACACTTACTGAGTATTGAAAAGTAGTTTTAAAAAATCCAGGCCTTTTTAAAAAAATCACGCCTTTGATATTTTTTTAAAAAATCCAAGCTTTTTTAAAAAATGCACGCCTTTGGTAGGTTTCCAAAAAATATTCTTAAAAAATCCAAGCCTTTGGTGGGTTTGAAAAAGTTTTTTTTTTAATCCAGGCCATTGATGGGTTTGAAAAAGTATTTTTAAAAAATCTTGGCCTTTTTAAACAATTCACGCTTTTGTTGGGTCTCGAAAAATTTCAAGCAGATGTTGAGTCTCTAAAAAATTAAAAAACAATTTTCAAAAAATATCCTTGCCTTTGGTAGGTCTTCTCCTTCGATAGTCTGCGGAATAATAATTTTTAAAATACCTAGGCCTTTGATGTGTCTTGAAAAAATATATTTTTTAATCCAGGCCATTGAGGGTCTTCGCAATAAGAATTTTTAAAAAATCCAGGCCTTTGATCGGCCTTAAAACGGTATTTTTAAGAAATCCAGGATTTTGATTGGTAGGTTTCTCCTACGATAGTCTGCGGAATAATATTTAAAAAAAAAATTAAAATAATCTTGAAAAAAAGTATTTTTAAAAAATCCAGGCCATAAAGCAGTATTTTTAAGAAAAACTATATTTTTTAAATGCAGGCCTTTGATGGGTCTTGAAAAAGTATTTTTAAAAAATCTAGGTCTTTATAAAAAAATCTCACCTTTGGTAGGTTTCGAAAAACTATTTTTTAAAATCCACGCCTTTAATAGATCTAAGGAAATTTTGTTTTTAAAATATCTTCGCCTTTAATAGGACATCTCCTTCCATAGTCGCCGAAAATATATTTAAAAAATCCAAGACTTTGATGGGTCTTGAAATAATATTTTTTTTTAAATGTATTCATTTGATGGGTGTTGAACTCTTCACTCTATGGTGGAGGTTACAAAAATTACATTCAAAGTTTTGCCTATTGCATATTGAAGCATAAATTGGCCTTACGATGGTCGGAATTAATTTAATTTATTATAGGTGGAGTCTCCGTTTTAAAATATTGGCCTTACTATGATGCACCACGTCCCAAATTGATAGAAAACATATTCCGGCACAAAACATATTTGTCCAAGATTAATCGAATTTTCGGTAAGACTGTTAGACTTCAATGATATGAGTTAAAGATTATTTCCAAATTTGTAAGTAGTGTATTTAAGGCTTCTTTTTAAATTATTTAAAAATATATATATTTAGATAATTACAAAATTTACAAACTCATCTTCTCTTTTTTTATTCATGTATCAAAAAACAACAACTAATTTGAAAAATCTTTTCTATAAAAAAATACGGTGGGGTAAATGGGGAGACAATGACTCAAAAAAATGTCATACTTATGTTTAGCAAATGAACTGTTAATATATTTATATGTATGTGTGTGTGTTGGTGGTGGTGGAGAATATAGCAAACATGATTATAAAGAGAAATCCTTATAATCACATACGACTGTTTCACATTATGATTTCAATATATATTTTTTATATGTTCATAAAAATGGCTAACTACTTTCAAAATAAATGTATTTGTTTATGAATTACTTGTGTGTGTTACGAATATATTAGAAAAAACTTGTTTTTTATTTAAATTAAATTGACTATGCATTGTTTTGTTCTTTTAACTATAATAATAATAATTAATTCTTGTTTTCATTTTCAAAATATTACCATTGACAATACAACAAATTGTTTTTTCAAAGGCTGTTCTGGCCCCCAACAAAATATATCCACAACAGCAGACAGACAAACGAAAAAAAAACAACTCACTTTAGTTTATTTTTTTCTATTCGTGTAGCATTCATTGATTCACATTCACTCTCTCGCGTTCATTCATGATCATTTCAATTTTTCTCTCTCTCTCTCTCTCATACATACACTGGTGACTGGTCATCCATAACATCAGGATTAAGTTTATCATCAAAGAAACGTCGAAATGTAAATTCAAAGAACCCATGAAACGGTTTATCCGTATCATTGAACTCATCACCGCTCATATTCGAATCGGAACGCAGTTTATCCGGATCGATGGGATCGAAATTCGATGTGTCCGTTGGATGTTCAATCTTTGGAATATATGGAGCGATTTGTCGCCGCATATCGGCAAAATCAACACCCTTAAAGTAATCGTGAGCCTTGACTTCTTCGGCTTTTTTGCCCAAGCGCTTATCGGCCGATGTACAAAGCCGTAAAATTAGATCTTGAGCTTCGGGTAATAGTTTCGCCTGTGGTGGTATATGTAGGGTCTTTTCCCAATTTATAACCTGCAAGAAAAAAACATGTTGATTCAGTAAGGGTTTTGTCGAAAAAAAAACGATTAGCACATACCTTCTGTTGTGTCTCAACGGGTGTATTGGCCAAAAATGGTGGTTGACCCACCAACATTTCATAGAGAATAACACCAACACTCCACCAATCACATAATTGGGTATAACCACTTCGTTCTAAAACTTCGGGTGCAATGTAATTCGGTGTGCCCACCAATGAGTGGGCCAATACTCTTTGATGATCGCGCAATCTCCGCCTGAAATTAAATTAAGAAAAATGTAAATATTAAAATAAAAATACAAAAATCTTTGGCCAGTAAGACTCCACGCGTTTTGTGTACTGGTTAGATGAAACAAGTGTATCTTCATTACTCAAGTCCAGTAATGATGTGGAATTATGAGCGATAGAATAACGCGTTGGTCGAACATTGTGAATTATAAAGACTCCAAGCCTTCTTAAAAATCGCGCACTCTCGAAGCAGACAGAGAACAAAACTGGTCATGGTTAAAATCACCCATGATCAATACATCAGAATACCTCACAAGCAAGTCACCAACCTCATGCTCAAATGCATAAACATTCCCACTCGGTAGGTAAAACAACACCAAGCAGAATTTTTCGATCCCTGTCCACTGAAGGTGGGGGAACACAGGCTGAAAGGGCCCGTCTGGTTGGGATCTCGGGTAGGGAGAACGCAGCAAGGTTGGCTCCTTCCCAGAGCGCGCCAAAGCCGCCAACGGTTTTCACAAGGAAATCCTAGGATTTCTTGTTCAGACAGTTGATGACTGACTTTGGCACCCTTCTGCATGAAGGCACAACCAATCTGACGATCCCCTTGGTCCCACAGACCATGGCCGACCGAAGGGCTCCTTCAAAGAGCAACCAATGACTATCACAGATCCTGCCATGAGGATCAGATTTGTCAATGATTGACACTTGAAGGTCTTCTTCAGCGGCTACCTTGGTCGGTCTGTCATATGGCTTACGCTATCTTTGGCTACAAGCTTTGGAGTTCGCCTTTCCAGAGGAGGTTGATGCCTTCTCTGTACTAAGCTGTTTCTCCGCCGTTTGTTGTCCAGCGACAGCCGCATATGAGTTAGAAGGATCTGCCAGACGAGAAGTCATCGTCTTCTTGGGAGATGGTTGCGGACCTCCGCTCACAGAGCGGATGCGCTTCACAGATTTGCTCTGTGGGGCGATATTTGCTTCCCCAGGTTCCTTGCCTGACTTTCCCTTCTTCCTATTTCGACCACTAGTGGATCCACCCAAAGCTTTAGCTTCACCTTTGTAGGTAGGCGCAGAATCGGGCTTTGAGACGGAGCCCTCCAGATGTTGATCACCCTTATGAGTGACATTTTGTTTCGGGATCCTCTCAATTGCCTTTTTCTGTGCATTCTCACTAGGGTTCGGCTTTGAGCTGGGCTTCAGGTCAGAAGTCGACTTAGCACCATTGTCAGAGACAGTGGGCTTCGCCGATTCTACCACTTTTGTGCGAGTAGTAGGATTCGGGAGGGAGACAGACAACAAAAAATAATAATGAAGAAGAATAAGAATGTACTTAAATACTAGAATCCTCGACAAGTATAGCGCCACTAGCAGGGATGCCTCCACACAGTCGGTCTTCTAGTATCTCAGATGTGTTAGATGGTCCTTAAGGTAAACACGGGAGGTCACATGAGTATTAATTACATTACTCAAAGCAATATACCCTAGACTATGGTAATTAGCCACTGTGGACTGTAGTGATGTGGACAGTAGTGAACTTGACCAATACTGATTTTCATCCAAAAACATAACAGCAATGTTGGATCTCACTGGCCTTAAGCTCAACATTACACATTTTAGCTATATTTAAAAACGGCTCTTGGAGATTGCGAATCGACCTCGGCAATCCATTAATTAAAACGTCAGCTTGGTTAAGACGTCGTTGACGGACACAATTCTCCCTTTCAATGTCAACAAGTTGTCTTCTCAAATCACTTAAGCCGTAATGCATCTTAGCCAAACTCTCCTTACATACAACTAAATTCGCATTGAGTTTCCGAACTGTTTCAGCCAAAATACCTGACTTATTAAAGCATAATACTACACCATAAATTGATTCAACCGCTCATCAAAACAGCAAGTTCATCCATACACTGCTTCATTTGAGAGTCAAAAGCCTCCATGACCAACACCGCAAGCAAGTCTGTCAAATAATTTCTTTACCCCAGAATCATCAGGCACTCTAGCACCACCACTCAATGTACTAATACTTTGTTGTGACTTATCATTCAGAGGAACCGAACATCGATTTTGAACGATGTGGTCGATATTTATACCAAAAGTTGGTGTGCACATATTGCTTGTAGGCTTTTTACATTTGTTGCATGTAAACTTAAAGTTTCTATCAGCCTTAACTTTCTCCACATCATTTGGGATGACAATAATTGGGACAACCTGGGATGTACTCCCCTAGTTATAATTTTCATGCATACTGGGCAATTGTAAGCCTTCGGAGGCGCCAGAGCAGACCATTAAAAACGGCAAACAAAAACAAAACAGCACTTAAAAAGGGCAGCACAGCAATCCACAAACCAAAACCAGCAAAAGTATCAGCAAAGCCAACTGACATCCATCAACTGATCACGAAAAAAAAACTTGTTTTCAAAATCTACGGCTTTGGTGTGTCTCAAAAAAATATTTTTAAAAAATCCAAGCCGTTGGTGGGTTTTGAAAAAATATTAAAAAAATCAATGACCTCCTCCTTTGAAAAATATTCGTAGAAAATGCAGGTCTTTGATAGGGCTGAAAAAATATTTTTAAGAAATCCACGCCTTTTATGGGCTTTGAAAAAATATTAAAAAAATAGGTTTGGAACTCGGAAAAATATTTTTAAATAATCCACGATTCGTTCGACCTCGGAAAAAGTGTTAAAAAATCACCCTTTGATGTGTGCTTACCTCTCCAATACCGTTGGTTTTTGTCCATTATCCGAAAAGTCCTCCCACGGTTCCATCGAATCCTGCCTGGCATGATTACCTAAGTAGTAATAAAATAATAAGTAAAATAAATAAATTGTATATGAATTATAAAAAAAAACAATTACCATTCTCTTGATAATATTTCGAATTATGGGTCCATCGAAAACCAGTGCATAAACCAAAATCGGTTAATTTAATATGGCCATCCCTATCGATTAGTATATTATCGGGTTTTATATCCCTAAGAGAAATACAAAAACAAAAATTAAATAAAATTGCAAATAATGCGCCTCAAAATCAATTTGAGCGGGCACGTGTGTTTTTACTCACCTATGAATAAAGCCCATTTTATGTACACTCTCAACGGCACAGGTTAGCTCGGCTATATAGAAACGGGCCAAAGGTTCCTCAAATATGCCCTTTTTAATTAAGAGCGACATCAAATCACCGCCTAAATAAATGATAGAATTATATTACAACAATTCTTTCAAACATATTCTCACCACCCCTGACTGGACTTACCCGGTATATAGTCCATCACAAAATATAAATTATCCTTATCCTGAAAACTATAGTAGAGTTTTACGACCCAATTATTATCGGCCTCAGCCAAAATATCACGTTCTGCCTTAACATGCGCCACCTGATTCCGTTTCAGGACATCGGCTTTGCGTAACGTTTTCATGGCATACAGGTGGTTGGTAGTGTCGATTTTACGCACCAGCGTCACCTCACCGAATGCACCCACACCGATCGGCTTGATTTTCACGAACATACTCTTGTCCATTTTCGCACGCTTCAGTCGAATATAGTTGCTCTCCTTCTGATTGAGCATTTTGCGCATTTCCACTTGGGTCTGGGTGGAGAGGCCGATTTTCAGCATCTCTTTTTCAAGTTGATTTTTACGGAACGTCCGCTGTTTATAGGATTTGAGAACATTTTCGATGTGTTGTTCCATGTAGAATTTGAAGGCCTGTGGTGAGTATTGACGTATGCGACATTCTTTGCGTTCTTCTTCTTTTTCTTTGGAGACTTTTTTGCGTTCAGGTATGGGTGAGGCGTGTTTGATTTTTTTCACATTTTCGGGAGGACTTGATTTGGCAGCAGCAGCACTGGAGGCAGAGACGGCGGCGGCACCACCTCCTCCTCCGCCGGAAGAGGATGATGCCACCGATTCTCCACCACTGCCAGAATTATTTTGGCTTGGTTTGCTAGGCGGTATGGGGGGTGTTGTGGCTAAATTACTATTCGTTATGGGTGAAAGGTTGTTGTTGCTGTTTGTTGAAGAGGGAGCCGTTCCGCCGCCGCTACCATTCGTTGATCGTGATTCCATAATATTGTTGTTCGTACTGTTGCCGACCACTTCGTGTGGCGAAGACGAAGGCAACGGATGTGGAGGCGGTGGTGCACTAACTGCTGATCGTGTACTCTGATAGGGTGGTGGCGGCGGCAGTTGCCGACCACCTCCCACCACCGGCACTACGGCTGGCGGCTTCTGTTGTTGAGCTGCAGCAGCAGCTATCACCGCCGCTGCCCTCAACTGAGCCTGAATCTGCTGTTGATGCTGTAGGGCGGCGGCCTGCTGCTGATGATGCTGTTGCTGGTGATGCTGGGCAGCCTTGGCCTGCATACTTTTGGCATACGAAGGCGGTTCGGCACATGGCGACTTGGTCATAACTGTGCCGTTCAGCGCATTGGCAATTAGGGGAGGAGTTGTGGGTGTTGGCGGTGTCGATTTACTAACTACCGGATGTGTGGTTGGTACGCCACCGGCCAGTAGCGGTGATTGTTGCTGCTGCTGTTGTTGTTGTACCACAGCGGGGCTCTTTTGTGGATATGATGGCGGTGCTGGAAGTATATGGACTGGAGAGTTGCAGGCCGATGCTGTGACCGGTGATTGGGGTGCCACCGCTGTCTGTAGGACCGGCTTCTGCACTTGGGTTGACTTGACACTTTGCATAATTATCGGCTGCTGGGTTCTTGTCGGATAGACACGAGGCTGTGGTCGCGCCACTGATGATGATGGCTGCATAGGCGGTGGTGGAAGAATTGCACTGTTTGTTACCGTTATGGGGCTGGGCGAACCCGCCGACGTTGCCGAATAAATACCACTACTGGGCGATTTGCGATAATCCGACTGAGACTGTGTAGGAGATTGCCGGGATTGTATTGAGGCATTGTAACTGGGTGGCGGCGCTGATGTGGGCACAACTACTCCGCCGCTAGTTAGGGGATAGGGCGGTGGTGGTTCCACAGCATTGCCGCCTCCAGCCTGATACAAACTCAACGCCTTCATTTGTTGCGTCAGCTGCTGCTGGGCCTTAATACCGTTTTGTGGTATTACCGGCGAGGTGCCGCGTGTCGGATTCGGTGTTATGGCTGCAGGACGGGTGGTGGCCGGCGAACGACGCTTGTAAATTTGATTTGATGATGGTGGTGGCGGCGGTGGTGTCGCCGAACTGCCACTGGTTGGATTTCGAGGTGGAGGTGCGGGCGGTGCAGCATCGCTAAAATTTGACGGTGATGGTGAATATTGACCAGTGCTGGCACGACTGGCACACATTACTTGCTGGTGTGAGTGTGGGCTGTCGGAACGTGAACTACCCGCCCCTGAATCCAATGCCGGACTGCAGCGTAAATAATTCGTAATGGGCATTTCACGTTCGATGCTCGCTTTGCGTATGAGTTTGGGTGGTACAATGGACGGGGGCATTACTTTTGGCACATGTCCATTGAGCTGGGCTGCTGTCGGTAGTGGTGGTGGTAGGGCAGGTGATGATGAGCTGACCGATGGCGGTGGTGGCTCCATCGGTGGTTTGATGCCATGATGGTATTCGGGGGCATCGGATCGGCCGTTGACAGCGGTAGTATATCGTGGGTGATTGAAATTCTGTGGAAAGACGAATAAGAAGATGAAAATATGTATATGTTGGGAAATAATAAAAAAATAATAGATACGTAAACAAGAGATGTAAGGTTAGGTTTTATATTGATTGCCCTTAAAAAATATTGCAGAGCTTTTGAACCTTGGATATAGTTAAAGAATAATGAACCTTAAATCTCATAGTCTTTGTAAAATAAATAAAAACCAGTAAGGAAAGTAGTAAAGTCGGACGGGGCCGACTATATGATACCCTTCACCACTATGTGTATATTAAACAGGACTATTAACATGAAATTGGATGAAATAAAATATGTGATATTTATCTAAATGTGAATCTACCTAGATCTATCCATAAACATGTCATTCGTTTGTTACAATGGGACAAAAGTATGTAAATCGACTTCAAACAAATATAAATAGGTCATCTGTTGTCCTATGTCTGTACTTCTAGAAAACGCAACTAAGTAATTCTATGCTCAATTTTATACGTTGTGCAAAATTTGATGTCAATCTGACTAACATGAGGAGTTTGATGTCCAATTTACTTGAAATCGGGCGAAAATATATATGGAAGCTCTATCCAAATATTAAGCGATTTCAAACAAACTTGTCACAGCTTAGGTTATACTAATTTCAGAACGTTTTGTTCCTATCAGCCTATTGGTTCCTTGGTGCGTCAATTACCTTAAATCGATTTATAATAAAAGGGAGCTATATCTAAATCCGGACCGATTTTCTCGAAACTTGGCAGACATCACTCTAGGCTCATTTCAGTACGTTATGCCAAATTTCGTGCAAATCGAAGGAAACATAGGGACTTTGGTGCACCATTTACATAAAATCGGACGAAACTATATATGGGAGCTATATCTAAATCAGGACCGATTTTTACGAAACTTGGCAGACATCATTCTAGGCTCATTTCAGTACGTTATGCCAAATTTCGTGCAAATCGAAGGATATATAGGGACTTTGGTGCACCATTTACATGTAATCGGACGACACTATATATGGGAGCTATATCTAAATCTGGAGCGATTTTCACGAAACTTGGTAGACATCATTCTAGGCTCTATTCGGTACGTTATCCAAATTTCGTGCAAATCGAATTATATATAGGGACTTTGGGGCACCATTTCCCATATATATGGGAGCTATATCTAAATCTGGACCGATTTTCACGAAACTTGGCAGACATCATTCTAGGCTCAATTCAGTACGTTATGCCAAATTTCGTGCAACTCGAAAGATATATAGGGACTTTGGTGCACCATTTACATGAAATCGTACGAAACTAAATATGGGAGCTATATCTAAATCTGGACCGATTTTCTCGAAACTTGGCAGACATCACTCTAGGCTTAATTCAATACGTTATGCCAAAGTTCGTGCAAATCGAATCATATATAGGGATTTTGGAGCACCATTTACATGAAATCGGACGAAACTATATATGGGAGCTATATCTAAATCTGGACCGATTTTCACGAAACTTGGCAGACATCATTCTAGGCTCAATTTAGTACGTTATGCCAAATTTCGGGCAAATCGAAAGATATATAGGGACTTTGGGGCACCATTTACATGAAATCGGACGAAACTATATATGGGAGCTATATCTAAATCTGGACCGATTTTCTCGAAACTTGGCAGACATCACTCTAGGCTTAATTCAATACGTTGTGCCAAATTTCGGGCAAATCGAAAGATATATAGGGACTTTGGGGCTCCATTTACATGAAATCGGACGAAACTATATATGGGAGCTATATCTAAATCTGGACCGATTTTCACGAAACTTGGCAGACATCATTCTTGACCTAAATGATTAGGCTGTACCAAATTTCGTGCAAATCGGAAGATATATAGGGACCGTTTACATTAAATCGGTTAAATATATATATGGGAGCTATGAACCGATTTTTCCCAATTTCAATAGGGTTCGTCCTTGGGCCGAATAAGTGACCTATGCCAAATTTCATCCAATTCGGATCATAAATGCGACCTGTACTTTGTTTACAATTTAACATGCACAGACAGACAGACGGACGGACGGACATGCATAAATCGACTTAGAAAGTGATTCTATACATATTCTCAAAAGGAACCATGTGTCTATCTCGTTTCCTTTTGCCTGTTACAAACATATGCACAAAGACATAATACCTTGTACCACAGTGTGGTGAAGGGTATAAATAGGCTGATATAAAAACTTTTAAAAGAAATATGCTTCGAGCTTTGATAGTCCTTGTGAAGAATATTTAAAGAAGCAAGGATTTGTCGACTGCTAGTCCTTCATACCTTTTGCAGGTATGAAGGTTGTGAATACCTGACGTCTTTTCTGACGACAAAGATGAGGCCGTCCTGCACGATTCAAAACCAATGACCGGAAACTTTACCAACGTGTAAAACACCAAACCGAAGGCTTTGGTGCAGGCGCATTCTCCTGTAGTGATAAAGAACGAAACCTGGTGACAGGCAGCGTGCCGAGGATGTAGAAGGAGCATTTTGAAAAACTTCTGGTATTAAATAGTGATGGTGAAGAAGATACCCCAGAACCAATTAAAGATGACGGTATAGATTTATTTACCAGTTAACGGTTCATGCAGAAGAGGAAGGCCACGAATCCGATGGAAAGACGAGCAATCATTTTGCTCGTGTTCTTTCGCAGAGATACAAGATCATTCGGTTCATGCAGAAGAGGAAGGCCACGAATTTTGCTCGTGTTCTTTCGCAGAGATACAAGATCATTCGTCCACCAAACCGGTTGTGATTTTGCACCCTGGATAGGTGGCCATAATTTCTTTTTATACTACCGCCGATGGATTTTGGGTACTTCGATATTATTTTCCGAAATCTTGCAGCTTCAAAATCTTGCAGATTCCTTAACTCCCTTTATCGACGCACTAAAGCACATATCCAAGGACTCTCCTTTAGCTTTCTTAATCTCACTTTTGTACGCCTTCCAATTGTTGCTTTGTTATAGGATTTCCTTGTGTCCCTTCGTAGAAATGCAAGGCCTTTTCCAAACCGACTGTGATTTTTTCTGGATGGGTATGTATCAGCGCCCGAAGGTGGTATTTCCATAAAAATCCTCTTCTCCTCTCAATAATGGCATTTTTTTACACACATGCACACAATTGGGATTGTTCGTCATCGTTTGTGTTTAAAATTGATTGCCCAATTGACCGTTACAACTTTTTGATATGCATTTTCGGAAGGGGTATCGTCGCTACTATGCCGATATTTACATGAAGTTCTAACCTATTTTGAATTTGCACAGTCGCCTGACTTAAGGGCGGTATTTTCCTGAAGCTCAACCCTATTTTAAATTTGCACAGTGGCCCAATTTAAATTCCATACATATAGAAAAAAATAGGTTAGGCGCCCTGTAGGAAAAGGTCGAAGGTTACGGTTTCGGAAAGGGTATCGAAAATCCTAATGTGAAGATATTTTCCTGAATCTCAAACCTATTTTGAATTTGCACAGAGGCCTCATTTAAATTCCATACATATAGGAAAATAAGTTAGGCCCCACTGTAGGCAAACGGCTATGGTTAAAACTTTTTTGTAGGTATTTTCGGAATGGGTATCGAAAATGCTACTATCGTGCACATTGACCAGACTTAAATTCGATATAAAGGGAAAATAGGTTAGGTCTCACTGTAGGAAAACGGAAAGGGTTACATCTGTTTGGTATGCATTTTTGGAAGGGGCATCGAAAACGTTAATATGCCGATATTTTCCTGAAGCTCAAACCTATTTTAAATTTCAACAGTGACTTGATTTTAATTCCATATAAAGGGAAAATAGGTGTATCAATTTCAAAAAGATGTAATCCTAAAAAATATTGTAAAGAAATGTCAATATTTTCTTCCTACACACAGACAAACAATAGTTTGAAACAAAAAACTGGTTCAAAATTCAAATTAAGAACTTTTTAATGTCCCTAAAACTTTTTCGTATACATCTTCGGAATGGGTATCGAAAATGCTACTAGGACTCTACTTTCCTGAAGCTCAAACCTTTTTTGAATTTCCACCGTGACTTGATTGTAATTCCATATAAAGGAAAAATAGGTTAGGTTTCACCGTACGAAAACGGAAAGGGTTACCAAATGTTTGATATGCATTTTCGGAAAGGGCATCGAAAATTCTACTAAGCCGATATGTTCCTGAAGCTCAAACCTATTTTGAATTTCCACACTGATTTGACTTTAATTCCATATATAGTAAAAATAGGTTAGGTCCCATGGTGGGAAAACGGCGATGGCTAAAACTTTTTCTTATGCATTTTCGGGACGGGCATCGAAAACGCTTCTAGTTAATCTATAACATAAAGTAGCTGCTAAATAATGAATTTTCGAATTTCCCGGAGAATGTCAGATTGGACTTTTTTTGGAGGAAGCCACAGGTTCATGCGCAATTTCAGTAAGTACAAAAAATCTCCATAGCATATGTGTATCGGCATTTGAAGGTGGTATTCCTATAAAAATCCTCTTCTCCTCTCTATAATAATTTCTTTACACACACATACAAATATACATTCTAATTTCGCGTATAAATACTTTTGAGTGTTGATGGATAATATTCATATCATCGGCATTGCCATCATCATGATCATTGATGCTATTTTATATTAAACGTAATGGGGGGTTGGAGGTGGTTGTGGCTACTTCTGGCTGCCCCCACACCTGTGCGTTCATTTGAAAATTTCTTTAGAAAAAATGGCAATAAATTATTTTACTTAAATTCCATTAGGTGTGAAAATCATCATCAGTGGCCTGTAGCCACTTTTTGATATTTTGCACATTTGAAAATACAAAAAAAAAATAGCCTCGTCATTAATTCGCCGCTATAACGTTTAACCCAACCAAAGCCAATTAACGACATGCCATTTTTTATTGTGTCAATCAATTTTTAAGTGATGAATCTAGAACGCACAGCACACAATGTCAGTGGATTATTGGGTGAATTTTAGTAGCATTACAGGGGGGATTACGTTCTTCAGAATGTGTCTTAGCAAGGCAAACGAAATTGTTTTGAAGGGGGAAAGGGAGAGAGAGAGGCATTTGCGGGCCTTAAATAAAATATAAATCCACCCTCGCTGCTTCTGCTGCTTACCTGTACTCCTCCTCCATTATCCTTTTGAACTTGAAATCTGGTCAAGTCCTGTTTGATGGTCTCTAGGGCTTCAGCTGTGTATTTATTTTTGGGGCGAACACTTTTTCCGCCCGCTTGATGCATTCTTGCAATATTTAGCACTCATATCACAATCAATGAAATTTTGTTGAAAACAATTCGGTTTCGCTTTTGTTTTCTTCGTTTTTTTTTTCTTCGCTTCTTGTTGGAGGCGCGTAGGTTGCACTTCAAGCTTGATTGGTAATTATTTTCAAGGTATGTATTTTTTGTTGTTGTTTTTGTTTTTCTTTCATTTACATATTTCTTTTAATATGCAAATTGGGGTTTGGAAACATACGCAGAGGCACTTGGTGTGGTATGCGGATTTTTTTTTTTTTTTTTTTGTGTTTTCTTGTTTTTGTTGCTGTTTTTTGTTATTTGGTCATCATATTGCACTATGATCTGAAACGAAAAGAAAAAAGGAGCAACATATTATTAAAACTGAAATAGTAGTGGGGAAAAATTGAGAAGGCTTTGTAGACAAATAATGCAACAAGTACCAAATAGACGCTGATAATGAGATGAATCTTTAAAATATCCACGCCTTGTATTGGTCCTTGAAAAAATATTCTTTAAAAAACCACGCTTTGACAATCTTTTAGAAAATTGTTGTTTAAAAAAACCACGCTTTGAAAATCTCTTAGAAAATTTTGGTTTAAAAAATCCACGCCTTGGATAGCGCTTGAAAAAAAATATTCTTTAAAAAATCTACGCATAGGATAGCCCTTGAAAAAAAATATTCTTTAAAAATCCACCTTGGTTAGACCTTGAAAATATTGTTATAGATCTGATCTGATCTGGCCCAAAACGAAGGTTCCGACGACCAATTTTGCCGTTCAGGAAGAGGTCCTTTATGTATTTATCTACTAGCAACCAATTATCATCGCTGATATACCCGTCACGGCTAACTCAATCCATGATCCCCAATCGCGTAGGCTTCCTGCTTCGAAAAGGCTGGTTCGGCTTTCACTTCATCCATACTGCTCCTCTTGGCAGGATTCTCCATTAAAGTGACTGACGGTTTCCATTCAAGTGACTGATAGTTTGACGTGCATCAATCGACTGCGTGGGTCTCTTTGCACAACGACTACCAGCTTGCTAGCTCCCCAAAGTGAAACAATGTTGTTAATTGTACCCATGTGTCGGAATTCCGACGATTACTTAGTTCTGCAATTAACAACTCTGGCCGAACCGAGAGTTCCGACGATCAACTTCGTTGTTCAGGAAGTTCAGGAAGTCCTAGGAACCACTGATCTTCGCTGCTGATACACCCGAAGTCAGGGTCAGCTCGATTCATGATCGCCACTCGCAGATTTTCCGGTATCCAAGGTTGAGCAACAGGGTGCTAGTCGCGGGCATCGGTTTCTTGGCTTCAAGCTTCAAAACGTCTGCTCTTGGCAGGATTCTCCATTGAAATGACCAACGCTTTCGAAACAGTTTGCCGTGCATCTAACGACTGCGTGGGTCTCGTTGCAAGAAGTTTCTGCTCATCCGAGAACCTACTTCGATCCCCAGAGTTGCAGCTGTCGCAGTGGTTGGCGCAGCTGTCGCGAGCACTTGCTTCGTATTCGCTACTTTTGGTTTAACAAATCGAATATCCAGCAAGAACCAATTGGATTATGGTTTTGGAGATTTAGCAGTGGGCGGATTGTCAGTTTGGTTTCTGGATACCTTTCTACGGGCTCTACTTCGGGCTGACTTAGACATTAGCTTGCCCTCCTTGCTCAGAGATTCCTTGCGCTGTGGTCCACGAGAAATAGGTCCTCAGAAGAGCAGCATCCACTTGCAGCAACAACTAATCGATTATCCAGCAACAACCAATTGGATTTGGGTTTTGGAGATTTAGCAGTAGGCGAATTGTCAGTGTGGTTTCCGGATACCTTTCTACGGGCTCTACTTCAGGCTGTCTTGAACATTAGCTTGCCCTCCTTGCTCAGAGATTAATTGGAGGGTGCTGAGTGATCACAAGTCCTACCCATCATCGTCCTGGTTGTGCCAGACTACTCACAGTCTTCGCCTCTTTTCGAAGCGATTCTGTGGTCGAATTCACACATCAATTTTTTTTTAATACGGAAGACCCTAGCATTGCAATTCGAATAGTTCCGAGAAAATTTCCAGATTAATTTGAGGTTCCTCTTAATCAGAAGGAATTCCTTGTCGGTTATAGAATCCTTGTCCCGTTCAATAAATTGGCCTTTAGTTAGGAGGTTGAAGAAGTTAATTGTTCCACGGTGTTTTACTGCTTTTTGAAGAGTAGGAAACGGGGAAGTCTCGGAGAAAATAACCGATTACCTATAAATCCAGGTCTGACGTGGCGACCCTAAATATTCACTTCACTGGGTTAGGTCCCCCGTAGGAAAACTGCGATGATTAAAACATTTTCGTTTGCATTTTCGGAAAAGGCGTCGAAAATGCTACTAGGCCGATATGTTCCTTAAGCTCTAGCTTATTTTGAATCTGCACAGTGGCCTAGATGAAATTCCATGTAAAGGGAAAATAGTTTAGGTCCCACTGTAGGAAAACGGAAAGGGTTACAACTGTTTGGTATGCATTTTTGGAAAGGGCATCTAAAATGCTATTAGGCCGATATTTTCCTGAAGCTCTAACCTATTTTGAATTTCAATATTGACCTGACTTAAATTCCATATTAAGGGAAAAAAGATTAGACCCCAAAATAGACTTGACTTGTACAATTGAATAGATGTTGTGTGTGTGTGTCGTGAGGACTTTGCTGACAGGAGGGACACCTATTTAGGGTTAAGGGGACAATGCGCTCTCGGTACGAGTTAAGAACATTGCTGTATGAATTGAACTGCTGTATGAAGGGAAAATAGGTTAGGTCCCACAATAGACTTGTAGGCTTGAAGGGACAATTGAATATATGGTGTGTGTAGTGAGGTCTTTGCTGGCAGGAGGTACACGGGTTTGCCTAGGAAGAAGCCTCTCAATCTGCGAAGTTGCAGGAGAATATTGGAGTAGGACTTTGTTGTATCTGTAGTCATTTTGTGGCTTCGGAGACCGCTAGTTGATGCCAGAATAGAACGGGTTTGCCTAGGAAGAAGCCTCTCTCTCTCCGAAATTGCAGGAGGATGTTACTTTGTTGTATGTATAGCCATTTATGGTTTCGGAGACTGCCAGTTGATGCGTGGATTTCATCGCGTTCGCTATCGACAATCTGTTGACGTCCGATGGAATGACGTCTTGGATACCAACACGATACGGCAGATAGCAGGCTACCAGGAACTGTACACATTATATTGCTTGACTGACAGCATCCTGGTCTCCCCATGGAGGTGATCGATGCTCGTCATCTGGACACAGCCGGATGAAATTCGGAGTACATTATTTTGAGTTGTTTGCAAGGTTCTCCATTGTGTGTCGCTAAGCGAAGAAGTCCAGACTGGGGGCAGCATAATTAAGGATGGAAGACCTATGGCCTTATATGCCGTTACCAAAGTTTCTTTATCCTTGCCTAGGAGTTGTCAGCCCAAGCTTTCAGAACTTTATTCCTAGCTTTCACCTTCTGGTTGATGTAATTGGAATGCGAGAAGAAATGAAGCAGGAATATGGACGGGTGGGGCTCGCGCCTTCCTTCAATGGAAATGTCAGGTTCTAAATTGACTTCTCACGTCCATACTTGATAGATGTAGGTGTCGCGAGTTTGGAGAAATGAAGTAGAGGCCACCCGATGTATTTTCGGTCGTAGTATTATGCCAAATAATATATTGACTTCTCGTGTCCCGAAAATGTGGACTGGATATTGGCTTGCAAAAATTATAGATTTGCAGGTGATTCATTTTAGGTGTCATTTCTTAGGAGGGAAATTCAAATTTCCTATTTTCCTAAATGTTGTGGTAGCAGAGTCTCTTAAAAGATTCTCCTTGCAAATAACCCTAGTGTCCCAATGAATAATCTAAACGCATTTACCAAGTGTGTATGTGCAGAGAGAGAGAGAACTATATGTATATTGTTGTAATATTATTATCATCATCATTCGTTAGTTGTTGTTTGGTTGCAATGCAATTTACAGCATTGTAACAACATCAACAACCATACCTACATATCCATCATCAATCTAGTGCTAACAAAGTATGTGTGGTTGTCGTTCGATCGGTTGGACAATTCAGTCGCCCGAGCTAGGCAGCCAGCTAGCCAGTCAGCCAACACAACCTACAGCCTAGTCGGTTTTTTTTTTTGTCGATCAATCCGAAACGAATAGTATTCGTAGTAGTCACTGATGTTGTTGTGCTGTGTTATGTATTTTGTATGTGTACCTGCCTGGCTAGCTGGCTGGCTGCCTCCTTGTCCGTCACTTGGGCCCGCGGCATGTATCTACTTCTTAGTCGGATTGCATGCTGGAATGTGAATGGAATTCCAAATATTTCATCGTTTTACAGAACGAAAAAAACGCAGGCACAGCAGCAGAGACGATCAATTTTTGTTGTTGGTTGTATCATATATATATATATATATACGAGTGGAGGTAAGGAGGTAAATAGAGTATACCAAGATATATTGGCTGGAATACTACAACAAAACAACAACAAATAACATTGTTCCGACAACGAAAAAGAAACAAAAAAAAGCACGAAGGTACACACATGTGTGGACAACAAGTATGCGCATAACACATAGTATGTGTCCTCCACACTCAGATAGGTCTCTGGCAGCACCACTAGCACAGCTGTGTGTTTGTCTTATTAGATGATGATGTTAATGGTGGCGCAGCGGCTACAGCAGCAACACATTTCCACATAACCTGATAATAACATATAAAAAAAACTGATACTCTATATTACACTTGCATCTTCTTCTTCTATACAGTGACTCAGAAATTTTGAATGGAGGCAGGGGAGAATATAATATATTTTTTTCGAATCTGTAAAAAATTCCATATAAAGGGAGAATAGATAGGGTCTCACTGGAGGAAAACTGCGAGGGTTAAAAGGGTTTTGTTGTGCATTTTCGGAAGGACATCGGAAATGCTTCTAGGCGAATATTTTCCAGAAGCTCTAAACTATTTTGAATTTCCACATTAAGGGAAAATAGGTTGAGTCCCACTGTTGGAAAACGGAGAGGGCTAAAACTTTTTGTTATGTATTTTCGGAAAG